TAGGATAGTCTGTAATAATAAGATGGAGATTACCAAGTTTCTTCCAAGTTTCCACATTTCTTCTTGTTTAAACTATTTGAAATGATGAGACTGTTTTGGTTTAGCTTTTCACTTTTTACTAGAAAATATTATAATATAAAAATCATACAAACTAGTTTTTACACTTTCATCAGGCTAGTTCATGGTAGAAGAAGGAGGAAATCCAGTTGTTACCTAACACATGTTTTTCAGCAACAATGTATTCAGGTCTTCTAGATCTTGATGTTCACTGTTACTTTTTAGTCACTTAGGCCAATTAATAGTATATGAAATTTAATTTGGGTAAATTACTTTTTGAGATTTTGTTTGGATATATATAATTATTTTTACTTTAGCTTGTGTTTGAAATAGATTTTAAACATAGTATATTTTAAATAGGCTTTTAGGCTTAATTGACTGGTAATAGGCTATTTATATATTATTTAATTATACAAAATTTTATGAACTGTTGCATATATATATAAATATATAATATATATATCTAAACCAAATCTCAAAAAGTAATTTTCCCAAATTAAATTTCATATACTATTAATTGGCCTGAGTGACTAAAAAGTGAACAGTGAACATCAAGATCTAGAAGACCTGAATACATTGTTGCTGAAAAACATGTGTTAGGTAACAACTGGATTTCCTTCTTCTACCATGAACTAGCCTGATGAAAGTGTAAAAACTAGTTTGTATGATTTTTATATTATAATATTTTCTAGTAAAAAGTGAAAAGCTAAACCAATAGTCTAATTATTTCAAATAGTTTAAACAAGAAGAAAAATGTGGAAACTTGGAAGAAACTTGGTAATCTCCATCTTATTATTACAGACAATTCTATTTAGGTGTTGGACAATTTGAGAACATTAGCCTAATTCTGAGGTGGATCGAGTAGCCTCCTAGCTGTTAAAATTTATATTCTTGATTCAAGTAAAGACTTTTGTTTTAGAACAATCTTATCCAAATTCGATATAAAATTATTTAGTAAAAAAAGAAATCAAAGGCTAACTTTATTATCATAAAAAAAGTTTCAAATTAAAATAGGCTATTAGCAAGGGAATTGGTAATAAAAGAGAGTTCCAAGCACGAACCTAAAAACCCTGAGGTTACAATTGTTATAATTAAATATATAATTAGATATATATACATATATATAAACCACTCACTGATCAAATAATCGCAAGGAACAGACGCTTCTGACAAAATAGGCCCGAGCGATAGACGCTGAGCGGGCGATAATAGCTCGAGCTCTAGCGATCATCGCTGAGCGTCAGACGCACCAGACGCTTTTCTGGCAAAACGGGCCTTAAAGCATAGATGAAGTAATATAATATATATAATATAATATAAGTAATATATAATATAATATAATTTTATTACAGTACTTCATCTATGCTTAAAGTGTGCCGCAGTTCGCCAAATTACTGCTAGGTGTCACTAGCCAAAGTGCGCCGCAGTTCGCCATCTCGCCGCTAGAGTGTACTAGTGTGTAGCAGTTTACCTAGTAACCGCTAGGTGTCACTAATACAAAGAACATGGAAGTTTATTTATTTATTTGCAATCTTAAATTATTCAGGCACAATAACCCAATTTAGCGATAACAAAAGAAACTACAATTGATAAACTAAATTTTTAAAGGACAATATTGCTATTTAAAACTGTAGAAGTTTACTATGAATCCTCTGTATCCACCGACACTCGCAGGGAGTTTGGAGTATCTCTTAAATGACTACCGGCTTAGTGAGCCTCTTGGTTAGTTTGTTGTGTGATCAAGGTTGTCATATATACGATACTCTTTGAGAAGCCGAGAGTCGTGTCCCTAACCTGGGGCCGATGATTGGCTTATAAGAAATTGAACGTCTCCAATGACACTGTGGCTGTAGTGTAATACCATTGACTGTATTAATAGTCAACGGTAATACTTTGAAGAATCGAAATACAGTGAATTCGTAGACTCCCCTCCCTGTATCCGAACTCGAACAACTTTGAGTATACACGGGATGTAAAATGGGCTTGTGATTCTGTTTTACAATAATTAATTCTACAATTTATTCAATGTAATTTTAAATTATATGAATTTTAAAAGGTAAATTTATTTTGACTTATAATTTCATACGGCCAGTTACCCCACACTTTTAACGAAAAAATTTGTTTAGCTGCGTTGTCTATTAATGTATTATTTTCTATTATATTGACTAATTAATTAATATCTTTAATGACATGTCTTATTCATTTTTATGGATAATTTACATCAGATATGCAAGTTATTTCGCGATATAACTATAAATAAACGGTATCAGCATTCTGACACATACTTTCTCCCATAAGTTTGTCAACAACCTGTGTAAGCGGTGAGAGTAAATATACGGAAATGGGATTTGTACAATTTTGTTCAGAATTTAAAGGACTTAACATACTAAATTTTTATCCAAATCGTTCGGGCCATTTTGGGAAAATCCGATTTTTCCGTTATTTTATGGGGTTTTATGGGAAAATCCCCATTAAAAATCAAAATTTCAAAAAAATGAAAAAAACTATCAAAATTGTAAGGACCATAACATGCTATGTTAAATCAAAACCGGATTTTATTCTAAAATCCTATTTTTCCTTATTTTATGGGGTTTTTCAAGAGAAAATAACATAATTTACAATAACTTTTGAACCGTAATTTTTACAGAAATGGGATTTGTACCATTTTGTCCAGAATTTAAAGGGCTACAACATACTAAATTTTTATCAAAATCGTTCTGGCCATTTTTAAGAAAATCCGATTTTTCCGTATAAAAATTTCAAAAAAATGAAAAAAAAAACGCCTGGAGATACCATGGATTAGAGCCTACATACCAAATTTCATCGAAATCGGACCACAGGTGTGGTCCCTAGCTCTGTACACATCCAGACACACAGACATCACTTCGAAAACCACTTTTTTGGGTCTAAGGGGACCCAAAACGAATATATCCACTGAAAACTCAAACTCGAAAATTTTGACGAAAACAATACTTTCTCCATATTCTATGGTATAGGGGGAGAAAGTAAAAATCCGTTTTAGCTATAGCTATAATAAATTCTATTCAATTGCCCTCCACCAGTAGTATCCTAATATTTTAAATAGCCAATATAGGCTAAATGTTAACGATTAATAATTTTAAACAGTTATTAAGAGCTGTAAATTATAGGGCTAATGGTAAAATTATAACGAGTAGGTGAAAAAAAATTGCTGCAGTAAAAACATTAAATACTGATACTCTTACGAATGCTACGGATTCATAAAAGTGCTATGGAACGATATATCGTTGTTTGCGTTTCATCCAAAAAGTGCTAAGCGACAATATATCGTTCCTCCGCAACTTTCGATCATGTGAGTTTAAATGGGTACATCGGTTTGTTTCCAAACAGTTGACGTTTTCTTTTGATTCCTGATACGATGGAGGCCCGATATACCGTTCCTTAGCACTTATGAGATGAAAAATTTTATTTTTACGGATTTTCTTTATCGGAGTTTCAAGCGAATATTCAAATTTACAAGCGCACACTAGACTTTGCCCCCGTGGCAAGCCTAGCACTTTTCGGATGAAATAAGTAAATCTCTTTGGAAAATTACAAAAAACAATCCTAGCATCGAAAGGGTAAAGAAGCTATGGTTCAAAGCAAATTTAGGGGCTAATACGTGTTTTAATAAAAAATGGTAACAATAAAACCGATAAACTGAACTTAGTTATTATTGTAAATACAACGCATACAACACCTTTAGCCTGATAATTTACGAAATGTATTTACAATTTAACCAGCGGAATACCGGTGCTTCGCTACGGAAACTTTCAAATTGCTAGAAATATTTAATAAATTAGTGTTTAAGGGGGTTCCCTACCTCAAACTGTTTTCAATTTTCTGCGACCCTGGTGAGTTTAGTTGGAACTACAAGTCGACAAAATATTCCGTACATTATAGCACTTTTCGCCGTGCAAGGTTTTACGCGGTTTCATTTTGCACATACAAAAAATAATCTTTTCTTGAAACTGAAAGTAACTTGATATTTTTAGTTAAATTTCGCACTAATATTGCTTTATTAAAAATCGATAATTTCATAAAAAGATATTATTATTTAACTGTAAAGTTCACTAACTTTGACAAGTCGTTCCCCTTGATTGCGTAAGCATAGACATTTTTTAAAAAGCAAACTTAGTAGAACCACTCTTTATGTACAAAATGGTGTTTGGTTCACAATTTAAATGTTAAAACTAGAATCGCTATATGATACCGCGCGAAGCGGTTTTCTGACGTTTTTCGGCAGGGGTAGGGAACCCTCTTAAGTACCAGATTATCATAGTCTTTTTGTTAAAGTTTAATGGAGTTCCATGGATCAATGAAATCTTATTTATTTCATTTCTGATAGTAACAGGCCCGCGATTCGCTAGTAATGCGCTATGGGCCTGACAGATTGTGCCTTTCTTTATTTTCCTTGTAAGGACAATTTTTCACTTCCATGCACCCCCAACACACCTAAAAACTCTTGTTTCCCTGGGGTGTGTCCGGACACATTTAATAAAGCGGCCCTGATAAAAAACATAAGGCCTATCTTTTCTACAGCCTATACCATAGATACTCCCCCCCCTTAGTAGATTCCTCATCCTTATGGAAAAGCTGAAGCAAATGTTTTGTTAATTCTGTCTGGTGCACTGTAGAGGTGGCGTTTTGTTTACAATTTGTTTATTGTTATTACCATGCAGTTTAACCAAATAAAACGATCTAATCACAAACAATAACTAGTCCCTTGGTTATATAACGAAAAAGTAAAGCAGAAATCATTAAATTAACCCTAAAATAGAAACAAAATTCTGTACACGAAAAACGAGCTTCAAAATTTACAATGGGATGAGAAGTCTACTTGTGTTTGTTAGTCTATGCCTATGGACTGGACACCTTCCTATTTTATTTCTTTAGAGGCAGATTTGCAGAGTAAAACAAAGCCAAAAACTTAACAAATTAGTTTATTTATTTAAAAAAAAAAAATACACACAAAATAAACTCTTTACATGCTATGTACAACTGTATTAGAACAGTATTTTAAAATTCTAAAATTAACTTTTAAAGTTTAAAGAATAGTATTTCTCAACAAAATTTAATTTTGGTTGTCCTTCCCAGCTGTTTGGAATTGTCCGTATTTCTTGCAAACAGAATTTCGTGCTTGCATTGCCTCTTCAGGCCAGGGTGGTTGTCATCAACCTAAAACAGAGACAGCAATATTGTACATTATTCCTATTTGAAAGGGTAAAGCTAGGCGCCCACCAGGCAACTCAGCGGGTGACGCGGCGCGGCGTGGCACGGCGCGACGCGGAGAAAAACTTCCGTCCGCTTCTCCAGGGTTCGCGCCCACCAAGCAACTCTAGCGGAAGCGCGGGGCAGCGCTGAGAATTATTCTTTTGGAGGGGATGCACAGTGCACTTCGATTCGGACCCGAACACTCCCGAAGGGCTCACGATACTTTCCGAAAACACCCGAATGAGCGGCAGACGAGGGGCAGACGCCGTTTCCGTGCCTCTACCCCGCGCCCACCAGGCAACTCAACGGAGGCGCCGCAACACGAGAGGAAGAAATTCTCCACCGAATTCTCACTGCCGGATTCGAGAAGAAGTTTTTTTTCCGCGCCGCGTTGCGCCACCCGCTGGGTTGCTAGGTGGGCGTCAGTCCATAAGATAACATGGCACGGATACGTGGCAACTTTTTTCCACGGCGCCGCGCCGCGCCACCCGCTGAGTTGCCCGGTGGGCGCCTAGCTTAATACGGGTGTGAGGTAAAGGTAGGGCAAATCCCATACAATACAAATGCCAGACACAAAAAGCAGAATACTGTAACTGAATATTGAAATGTGTGTTGCCATTGATTAAATGCGTATAAGAAGGGGACAGATAATGCTTCTACAGTAGTTGTTACCGATTTTGGGGACATAGTTTGGGCCACTGACACTTGGGACGCGGCAGTCGGTCGGTAGTGCACCTCTGAGCACCTTTAAATCATGTAGTATCATAAAATTAATTACAAATAGAAACTACGACCAAACAAACAAAAATGACATATTACACAATTAAAGCAATATTTAAAAACAACCAAACTGCCTTACCGACATGCCCGAGGTGGAGTAGTTCAGGTCGCTAACGCTACTCTGCAACAGCGCTGTTCAGGTAACGGTAGCCTCCATTGAGTGTCTACTTTAGTACGTGTATACTCAAGATGCAACCTTTCGTCATGGAGCTCAAAATTATGAAGGACCAGAAAATAGGTCTTTTGTGACAGTTCCGCTACTTTTTTTACTTAATTTATATGGCACAGCTAAGATTTATATTTTGGCAAACCTCAACTACCGTACTGTTAAGCTATTATTTTTAAAAAGGTAGGTTCGAGTAGAGGGGATGGATTTCTTCCCCACAACCGCCTAAATTTTGTGTACAGAGTATGAACAATTACAGTAGACCCCCTCTTAACCGACCTCGTATTAACCGATAATCGGGTTATCCGCCTTCTATCGTAAAATAATACAGTTTGTTTTAACCGACCTTGCTTTGAGAGCAGCTCGGTTTAACCGCCGCTTTCTAGGAATCTCGGCATTTCCGCTCCCTGGCTGGGCGATGAGAACTTAACCATACGCTTATCTCCACAAGATATGACTAACAATAAGTTATTTTTTGTTGATCACAAAAAATATAGCATAGCCTATTGTCAGTTTGTCATCATTGTTCGTAGCTCGAGCACATCTGATCTGATTTGTTATCTGTGCGGCAAATGTATAACATCATAAAGTGCATTACGATTTTGAAAACTGATTATCTTATCGCCGGAGTAAACAAACAACGCAACTTGTAGGGAAGGCAGGGAAGGGGGGTTAACAACTCCAAGGTCAAGATAGTTTTTGTGCCTCGAGCCTCCAGTGAGAGGCTATAAATCAAGGCTATATATCCTGTCTTGTATCAAAATGGTCGCGTGTATCTTTAATGTCGACAAAAGGTTCTATACTGTATTACGATGTATTTGGAAAGCATCAATTAATACATTACAATACTAAAATTATTAAAATAGAATTTTATTGACTCTTGCCTAGTATTATAATATATTCCACTGAAAGTAGGCCTATTTGACTTAACCGTGTTTTGTGTTGTGTTTATTTGTGACTTTTCTAACAATATGAAAAAGGAGATAAGAGTAGTTTATTTTATAAATAATGCAAGTATGACTTCAAAATAACGATTATATAATTCCAAATGAATAGCACTTAATTATGTTATGATTTTAGGGATTGCCCGTTTTAACCGACCTTTTAAGTTATCCGACCTAGGTCCGGTCCCATTAGGGTCGGTTAAGAGGGGGTCTACTGTATATAGATGAATTACCGAGATATAAAAATGAAAAAGTAAATTGGTCCCAGATCTCGGTCTTACAATAAGACCTATGATAATAGCTTATTCCCTATATTGAAAATTCGCTAAAATTTTCTTTTCATTTTATCATTTTTGGTTACAGTACAAGTTTATTGAAAAACTCAAATGAAAAAAATAACACCAATGAGATTGAATTTTTCTATCTGGTTGTACATCTTGTTTGTGTTTATTTTATAGCCAGCATTGTATGACCCACATGTGGAGGGTACAGTACAGTTTAACATATTTTTTTTAGGGAGAGGAGGAAAAATGCTTTTACGCACACAAGTAGCCAGCCTGTTAGTGCGAGACGTTCGTTTGCTACGCTCACTCACCGGTTGCAAATTAGCTGTTAGCCCCGCCGCAGCAAACCTGCAGACTAAGCGAATTTCCATTTGCCTGATTGAATTTACACTAAAATTTTTCCTTAAAAATATCACATTTATTCCCTATTTAAATAGAATCAGTTTAACACATACTTAGGTTTGCTGCAACAGGGAGGGTAAAAGTGTTTTTTATGTAAATTGTTATAGTTAGTAAGAAATAAAAACATTTTCCAAATTTGGGCAAAAAATGTTAAAAAACAAGCAAACTACAACAGTTTACTTATTCTCCATAAGGATAGCATTAGAATTTTAAATTTACAATTTTTTGGAATTTTCTCCGTAACCATTAGGCGCATTATAACGTTTCAATATACTAAATTATTTGTTTTTTAAGCTCTAGAAAATAGTTTAAAAAGAAATTGCAAAATTTTATGTTTTTTGGGTCAAAAATGGGAAAAACCCATTTTTACCCCATAAAAGCCCCCATAAACCCCCGTTCCTATGGTCCGATCATGCTGGTTCACAAACTCATTCGAATAAACGTAGGTTTACAGGTTTGTACCAAATTTCATCAAAATCGGATCATTTTTGCTCGAGTTATCACGCTAGCGGACACATATTTAAATATATATATATATATATATACCTATAAATATATATGAATTTGAACGGATGGTGTTTTTGGCCTCTAGGGACCTCAAAACGAAAAAAAAATTCGGTCCCGGGTCCAGGTCTTACCATGAGTACTTCGGTAATAGCTTATTCCCTATATGGGAAATTCGCTAAAAATAATAAGTGCTGCAACCTGTTGGTAAACCTATTAACTTTTTAATGTTATTGAAAACCACAGTATCAAATTGTTGAGTTGAATCAGCTGTTAAGATTCTTTAATTCCATTTAAATATGAGTACTCATAAGGTTAACATTGGAAACTCCAGAGCCACTGAGGCGGAGCCCTTTTGACGGATCTGCACCAAACTTCACACAAACCATCCTTGAATAATGCTTTAAAATGCCTGAAAGTTTCATTACAATCTGTCGAGCGGTTTCTGAGTCTGCAAAGGGCAAACAAACATACATTGGATTTTATATATACAGGGTGTTTCAGTAAAGCGTAGCGGGCTATGCAGATTCAGATTCTACATGCAAAAATAAGTTGAAAATTTTGAATAAATTTTTTTCGATTTCGGCTTATTTTAGCCGTAATCCGCCATTTTGTATTTTTTTGAAAATAATTAATAACTCAAAAACCCTTGGAGATATTTTTATGAAACCTGGTATAAACTTTAAGTCTACAGGTATAAACATTCTCCAAAAATATCTTTGATCAGGCTCTACAAATTTCAAAATGGCGACCATTTAAAGTTTTGTTTTAATGGCCGGTTTTCATTGAATTTTACTTTAAAACTTTTAAATGGCCGCCATTTTGAAATTTGATGAGCCTGATCAAAGTTATTTTCGGAGAATGTTTATACCTGTAGATTTAAAGTTTATACCAAGTTTTATAAAAATACCTCTAAGGGATTTTGAGATATTAACTATTTTCACAAAAATACAAAATGGCGGATTACGGCTAAACGAAGCCGAAATCAAAAAAAATTATTCTACATTTTCGACTTATTTTTGCATGTAGAATCTGAATGTGCATAGCTCGCTACGCTTTACTGAAACACCCTGTATAGATTTACGCATGTTTTTGGTGGTTAAAACAAGCTGTCCTTTATTAATCAATAGTAACTAAGAAACTAAAAAAGTAATATTGTTAAGCAAAAAAAAAAAAAACTCCTGTAACCTACTAGTTTTAAGTTATATTATTGTGTTTTTATTGACGCCATTGTATTTTTCTCAGAAACTCATTTTTTATACGTACCAATAGTTATCCAAGTATTGAGTCAGTATTGATTGGTTTAGTTAGTTCTCATTTTCATGTTGAAAAAATCCATTTTTTCAGTAGCCACCTAGTCCATATACATCTTGTAAAATTAACGGCTGAAAAATCAATACCGGTATGCTGTTAAAATGTCCCATAGCTTGGGAGCATATTAATTATCCAACTCTCTATTCACTATGTAAATAAAAGAAACTGAGACTTAGGTTTGCTGTGAAAGGCGGAGTTATACTCCCCGCAAACTTTCGTGGCGGCTGAGGGATTAGGACGGCCGGGTGGTGGCCCGGCCCCTAATTAGCCCTCGCTCGGCTGCACTGGGTTTTGACCATGAGTCAAGCACTAGGCGTAATGCATAGATGATAGAGTTTTTGTATATCACCATAAAGTGTATTAAATAACGTCATTTTTGTAACCTGCATCAAATAACAAGAACATTGAGCCCAAACACGAAATAATTACGATGATTTTAAGTATATACAGTACTTGGTTTTAAAATAAGAGCCAGTTTTTAGAACAAGATATACAGTGTGTAAATTAAGTATTGAAACAAATCTTTATTTTTAAAACCGAAATAGATAGAAATGTTCTGTTTGTGGCAATAATTGTTAACAAAGGTCCCGCAATTTTTTACATCAAAAATAATTTTTTTTTTAACCCCCCTTACAGGGTAGGGGGTAGAGGGTGACTTATTTTTTTTTAATAGCAACCCCTATTGAGTGACCCCTCATTTTGAAGGGTTTGTCAAAAGAAACACAATGACGCAATTCCGAGGTGAATAACTCACCCCTAACCAAAATGGCGGATATTCCAAAATGGGTGTTTTTTTACAAATATAAAATTTTGGAATGGCTGCCATTTAGGCTAGGGGTGAAATATCTACCGCGGATTTGCGTCATTGTTTTTCTTTTAACAAATCCTTTAAAATGAGGGGTCACTCAATAAGGGTTGTTATTAAAAAAAATAAGTCACCCCAACCCCCTACCCTGTTAAAGGGGTTGAAAAAATATTGTTGATGTAAAAATTTGCGGAACCTATGTTAACAATCAATTCCACAAACTATTTCAATATAATATATTTCTATCTATTTCGGTTTAAAAAATACAGATTTCTTTCCATTATTTGTGAAATTGGTGCTTTTTCCCATACAGTAAATCAAATTTTGGAATGCCTGCCATTTTGGCTAGGGACCTCGGATTTGCGTCATTGAGTTTCTTTTGGCAAACCCTTCAAAATGAGGGGTCACTCAATAGGGGTTGCTATTTGAAAAAAAATTAGTCACCCCCTACCCACTACCCTGTTAGGGGGGTAAAAAAATATTTTTGATGTAAATAATTGCGGAACCTTTGTTTACAATTATTGTAAGAAACAGAATATCTCTATCTGTTTCGGTTTTAAAAATACAGATTTGTTTCAATACTTAATTTACACACTGTATATTTAAGGTTACTGTATGCACTAACTATATGCAATTTACAATTATGTACGGTACAGAGAATATTGTCCAAATCACGCCGGAGATGAATGTGAAACAAAAGGATAATTATTGCGATATTATTAAATACAGGCCTACACTTTGTTTTAGTATAAAATCGTAGAATAAATTATATACATTTTAGACGATTTAAAAACTATTCACAATACTGTTCAAAATCCATTTACTATTATGTTATCCAGATCCACTCATGAGCTGAATGTGTTACAAAATATTTTCTATATTAACAAGTACAAACCTAAACGTTTTTAAAGGATAATACACAGTTTTCAGATCAAGATATATATCTAAGAGTATTTACAAATTATTTACATTACTGTTCACTAACTATTTGCAATTATATACATAGAATTGTTGGTTCTCGCAAGTGCTAGAGGTGAAACCATTTCCCTGAAAAGAAATATCTGTTAGCACCATGCCGTAATCGTAATATATATGTATTCATCTAAAAACGATATATTATTCTCAAACAAAGTGTAGGCCTGTACTTAATAATATCACAATTATTTGGTATCACATTCAGCTCCTGCGTGACTTTGGACGACATTCTCTGAACATAATTGTAAATAGTAAATAGTTAGTGAACAGTAGTGTAAATAGTTTGTAAATACAGTAACCTTAAAATACCTTGTTCTAAAAACTGGCTCTTATTTTAAAACTAAGTATATACTTAAAATCATCTTAATTATTTCGTGTTTGGGCTCAATGTTCTTGTTATTTTATGGAGGTTACAAAAATGACGTTATTTAATACACTTTATGGTGATATACAAAAACTCTATCATCTATGCATTACGCCTAGTGCTTGACTCATGGTCAAAACCCAGTGCAGCCGAGCGAGGGCTAATTAGAGGCCGGGACACCACCCGGCCGTCCTAATCCCTCAGCCGCCACGAAAGTTTGCGGGGAGTATAATGGTAGTTTTAAACTTAAGTCCTAGACTACATAGTGGGAGGGAGTAGGCCTAAATAGTAATGTTAGTTGTATTATGCTTTACAGTTATTTATTTATTTACAACATTTTTCCAAACATCAGAGAATGTCAATGTAGGAACTAGTTCATACTCTGCTGCAGTGAAGAATCTGAGGATCAATAGTGAATAGTCTTGAAGATCAGAGATGCTTTATAACTTGTAACAGTCTTCAGTGAGCAGATTCAATAGTCGCAAAGGAGAAGTGCAAAACTTTTATTTATGAAATATAACAAATCAAGAATGATCACAACCGTCAACACCTGCAAAACTAAATATGAAGTAGGAAGTAGGCCAGTGAATATACTTTGTGGTTGGCTGACCAGGATTTGCTTTTAAAATAATATAATATATAAGACTTACCGTCTTGAAGCAATCCAGTTTTTGTACTCAGTGTACAGCTGTTTCGGCTTCATAAAGCCATCTTCAGCACATTCTTCCAGAGGTCAATTCATTATAAATATGCGAACATTCTGGTTCTTGTCAACTTTTTACAACACAATTTACACAACATAAAAGATGAAAACATAAACTTTGGTAGGCATACCCTACTTGTATGTCGCGACATAACCTCACTTTTGACATGTGCTCAACTGACAGACAACAGACAAATTTCTGTTGTCAACAGACAAACCAGAATGTTCGCATATTTATAATGAATTGACCTCTAGAAGAATGTGCTGAAGATGGCTTTATGAAGCCGAAACAGCTGTACACTGAGTACAAAAACTGGATTGCTTCAAGACGGTAAGTCTTATATATTATATTACCAGTGAATATGATATGGCAAGGAAAATGATATGAAAAGGATATTAAGGTAAATAACCACAAAGTAAACCTAAATATATTATTAATTAGATACAGTAGAACTTCCACTATCCTAATCAATTGGGATAGTCCAGGACCTGACTAGGGTTCTGTGTGCATGTCGTGTATAGAGAATTTTGCTGTTGCATTTCAATAAAGGTGTCTAAAGCCGCGTTTACACCGGAGTTTGAAACACGAGTTGCAAACAAAAATTGCAAACACCTCTAAAAACACACATTTTTAGACAAAACATTTCGCTGTTGCAAACAGTTTTTCAGTGTTTGCAACAGAAATTTTTGTTTCCACTTGAAGTCGGTAAAGATCAAAGGAAGTTGCAAACTCTTTGTTTGCAACACTAGTTTCGGTCAATATGAGCCGTTGAAACACGAAACAGAAACATTTCTCTGCCATCCCCTATGCTACCACCTCCAGTCTCACTCACGTGATCACTCGCACCACCATGTATCTCGATTCAGTGTTTAATTAATCGGGAAAATGCTGTTTGACTGTCAATGAATTAACACTAATCTCAAATGACAAGGTCGTCTGATCTAAAAATAACAATAACGTCTCATGTGAATTAAAAGGGTTATAATTAACTCCTTGCTATCTTTAAAAATTAATAATAATTTTAATTTGATGATTTATACAATCACCGATGTTCACCCAGCATCGTCTCGCCTATGTTGCTTTGACAACACGACACACGCCGCCACGGCAAAAATAACATCCTCGACACTTGACATCCTCAAAAGGACTAATCTGAAGAACCAGAACGAGGCGAGTCATAATCAAGGTCGAAATTATTTCAAACAATTTCATGAAACATGGAAACAAATCATGAAATAAAAATTGCAAACATTTATTTGAAACTACTGTTTGCAACTGCTGTTTGCAATAAAAGTTTGCAACTTTTTGTTTGAAGCTCCGGTGTAAACGCGGCTTTAGGAAATGTTTTCCACTCGGGTGTCAAGTTCGCAGCTGGTACGTTTTTGAGCTATGACGTCATCAAGATGGCGGCTCGGCAATTTTTAAATGCATATATTTCGCAATCCGTTTAACGGATCGGGATGATTCTTTTTTTGTTTGAAAGATATTTTTACAAGCCATCTTTTTTGTATTTACACATTTGTTGTAAACTTAATATTTACCGCACAATATTGAAAAACGTAGTTTTTATTGTTATTATATTTATTGTTTTGCTTATAGCTCCTTAACCGCTGATAAAATCAAATACCACCCGTTGCAAAAGTTGCAGATAATTCTATACCCTTTCCAATGATACCAAACAATATGTGATTAGACCTAAAAATAAAGCAAAGAGATTGAATAAACTGTAAAAAACACTGAAAGTGGTGTACGGTCCGGGAAAGATTTAGTCCTGGACATGACTAGGGTTCTGTGTGCATGTCGTGTATAAAGAATTTTGCTTTTGCATTTCAATATAGGTGTCTTAGGAAGTGTCTTCCACTCGGGTGTCAAGTCCGCGCCTGTTACGTTTTCCAGCTATGACGTCATCAAAATGGCGGCTAGGGCAATTTTTAAATGCGTATATTTCGCATACCGTTCAACGGATCGGGATGATTCTTTTTTTGTTTGAAAGATAATTTTACAGGAAATGTTTTTTGTATTTACACTTTTGTAGTCAACTTAAAATTTATCTCACTATATTAAAAAACGTGGTACAGGACTAGGACTGTATCACATCCGGTTGAAAAAAATTTTGTTAATTGAATTTAATAGTCGAGGGATTAAACGGAAAATAGATAGAGTGGAGCCGAGCGTTTAGTATTGCACGCCCGTGAGTGAGATTATGGAATTTGCCGCAATCACGGCTTCTGCCCTTTTAATAACTATTCTTATTAGGCTACAATGGTTTGTTTTAGCGAATTTCCCATATAGGGAATAAGCTATTACCGTAGTACTCATGGTAAGACCTGGACCCGGGACAGATTTTTTTTTTCGTTTTGAGGTCCCTACAGGTCAAAAATAGCATCAGTTCAAATTCATATATATATACATATATTTATATATATACAGTAGAGTCCCGCAAACATAACGTAATGTGGACTGGAAGGGTGCCGAGTTTGTGAAATGCCGGGTTCGAGAACTAGGGTTAAAAACAAGAACAATATAATTTTTAAGCTTATTAACTACCTCTTTTATTTAAATTTATATTACAAGTTAGTATTAAGTCATCAGATATAGTACAACAAATCATTTGTACAAGCTGAGAATGATTTGACTTGAGCTGGCTTGAGTCCATGTTTAACTCGGACTCAAAAAATCACTAATTTTTGAGCCGGGTGATGGCCGAGTTATCCAGACTGCCGGGTTATCGAGTGCCGAGTTTGGGGGACTCTACTGTATTTATATATATATATGTGTCCGTTAGCGCGATAACTCCAGCAAAAATGATCCGATTTTGATGAAATTTGGTACAAACGTGTAAACCTACGTTTATTCGAACGAGTTCGCAAACCAGCATGATCGGACCATGGGAACGGGGGTTTATAGGGGCTTTTATGGGGTAAAAATGGGTTTTTCCCATTTTTGACCCAAAAAACTTTAATTTTTGCAATTTCTTTCCAAACTATTTTGTAGAGCTTAAAAAAACAAATAATTTAGTATATTGAAGCGTTTTAATGCGCCTAATAGTTACGGAGAAAATTCAAACAAATTGTAAATTTAAAATTCCCATGTTATTCTTATGGAGGATAAGTAAACTGTTGTAGTTTGCTTATTTATTAACATATTTTGCCCAAATTTGGAAAATGTTTTTATTTCTTACTAACTATTAACATTTTACATAAAAAAACACTTTAACCCTCCCTGTTGCAGCAAACCTAAGTATGTGTTAAACTGATTTGATTTAAATAGCAGGGAATAAATGTGATATTTTTAAGGAGACATTTTAGTGTAAATCCAATCAGGCAAATGGAAATTCGCTTAGTCTGCAGGTTTGCTGCGGCGGGGGTATTTTTTTTTTTTTTTTTTTTACTATTTGAGTAGTAGGCGATTTGGATGGTTGGAGTTATACTGTATGTGAAAGTTCCCAATACAATTATTTACTTCCCGACCATCAGGCCTAGGGTTACTTAATTTATCACTTCCTCACAACAATTTGGAGTTTAAGAACTACAATTCAAATGTCAAAAACGTGTTATTGTACGGCTGTGAAACCTTGAAAACGAATAAATCAACAACAAACTACAAGTATGCATAAATAGCCTAGTAAGAAAGATGTTAAATATTAGATGGCCAGAAACAATAACATACAAGGAACTGTGGCACCAAACAACCCAAATATTGTACCTATAGGATTGTAGATAAGAAGGAAATGACAATGGGTGACAAGATTTATTTATTTATTAAGATTAAGGTGAATGACAAGATTTATTTATTTATTTATTAAGATTAAGGTGGATGTTCTCAAAGAACCCGTGGAATGGAACCCTGCTGGTAAAAGAAGAGCTGGAAGACCTAGAATACTTTGAGAAGGACACTGTTGGAAGGTAGAGGCAAGACATGATATCAAGAGAATGGCGACCAACAGGTTGAAGTGGGGACAAACAATGAAGAACCAATACTCCAGGAGTCTACAGGGTTGGGTTGTCACATTTTAGTATTAAACTTCAGACTTTGAAACCTCTAGTTATTATCATTGACAACACGTGTGAACCAGCCATCAATGAGGCATACATGAGATTATTTTGCATGTCTGTGTGTGATAATACTTTTGGAAAAGTGTTTGTTCATGGAAAATGTTAAGTTTTCCATAGTAACTGATACCACAGAGTAAGGTAAAGAGGAAACCCGCATATGAGACGACTGTGTGCGTTCAGCTCTGCCAGAAATGTACTTGTGACAAGCAAGTGACGACCACTGAGCGGAAATCCCTATCTGATAGGAGACCCCTTCCTCCCCTCCCTTCCTCCACCGTGAGCGTTGTAGAACATGATGGCGAGGGGGTGGTGTTGGACTTTGCCCTAGACACTCAGCACTAGTGTACCATTGAATGTTACCTTACGTCTCTTAGCTGTTACAAATAATATTTAAGTACACCATACCAAAGCGATTTTACTTACATATATTAAACAGCAGATATCCTTCCCAACGTAAGCTCTAATCATTTTTGAAAGTAATAAATTTGACCAACTTTTTTCTAATTTGTATTCCTTTTTCTCTTTCTATTTCTTTTTCTATTTCATCTTGTTTATCTGTATCCTTGGCTATTGTCTTTATTGTTCTTGCATAGCTGTGGTCCATATTCCTATTTACTTCATTGTTACCAGTCAAATTTAACAAATTTAAATACACTACAGAGTTGATAGTGTCATTTAATTTCAGATTTGTAACTTCATCCTTTAACTGTTTTACCAACGCTAAGGAATTTTTAAGTTTTACTTTTCTGCGCAAGAGTCTCATCTGTAAACGTTTTACTTTTTTTCTCAGCATTTTTTCTGTTATAGTACTTGAAAACGAGGTTTGCGTTTGACGATTTATATTTTTCAAAGGGGTGCTCTCTTTGTTGTTCCTCAGCTCCAATTCAGAAGTTTGGCTTGCAGCTTCAATGGTTCTATGCTGCGACACAGTAGTTTGGGCAGGAGCTTTAAAATGTATGTGCTGCGACACAGTAGTTAGACTTTTAGGTTGAATGTTTCTGTACTGTGATTCTGTAGTTCCCATTTGACTGGTCTCCTTTGTTGTCTACAACAAACAAAAAAGCTGGATTTGTAATTTTAACTAGTATTAGAATCTTGATATTTAAAAGCTATCTTTGTTTTGTTCAACTTTTAAAATTTATTTTCACAAAATGGCAGAGGAAATAAGGAATTTAAAAAATTACCTATGTTATTTAACTATCTAGGTGTTCATAGTTTGTTTTAGCAGTTAATTAATCACTTTAAGTAAGCTGAGTGCACCAGTGAATGACTGTTTATGCTTGAGTTTCCACTAGCCTACATCTCCACTACATTGTTGTATTAGTTTCCACTTGAGTAGCCGTCATAGGAAAACAGGACTACACAACATCATAGGAAATAGTTTAAACTCTTGAACTATACATATACACAAATTTCTTAATTTCATTCTATATTATTGACATTTGGTCAAACACACTTTTGGACTTCCTGTAGCAGCAATTCTAGGTATTCTTTAATCAATCTAGTCTTATATAAACGGTGAAATATGAATTTTCTTTTATATTTAAGTCAAAATCAAAGTAAAATAATTTGAATTTGAACTCACCGAACTGGAGTTTGCCGTCTTTGCCACATACTCATGGTCAGCAATTACTGGTTCGCAAACCACTGCTGCACAGTCCCCGGCGTCCTTCTAGGTAAAAAAAAAAACACTCCATGAACTTTAAAATTAATGTTAAAGACATAACATGTACAGTAGACTCCCTCTTATCCGGACTCCTTGGGACTGAGGCCAGTTCGGATAACGGTTTTTCCGGTTAAACCGACGTCCCCACAAAACTCGTTAAAACGGAATGTTTACTGTGATATTCGATTTAAGTTTAGGAGAGTATTGTATTAAGACAGAGATTGTTTATCACTGGTCTAGGGTGCAATCTTCTCTGGTCCCACGAGAACAGTTGTTTCAGTACCGCCCACTTCCTGCCAATCTAGTCCGGTTAAACCAATATGCTGATAAAAATTGTCCTGTTAAAGAGATGTCATTTCCGCCGAGCGTAGTCTGGTCAAACCAATGTCTGGTTAAAAAGTTGTCCGGATAAGAGGGAGTCTACTGTATTACATGTTTCAAATTTTGGTTTCTTCTAATAATAAATTTACAGTTAAGCCATAATTATTTTTAAGTAGGTAGGTATAGTAAATTCATATTATTAAGTGGTAAGGTTTAGTGTTTTGAGGAAACTGGTCCTCTGATGTTTTCATGTGTCAGCGTTTGAAAAAAGCTGGATAAGCTTCTTAAATTTTTAAAGTCAATTCGGTCATACTTAATACATCTCTTAATGTAGTCCTAAGAGTGACATATGAATCATCATCAAACACAAAGAAACAATCATAGAATCAGCAGCACTCTAACTTTTTTTTCTTAAAAGGTACAAATAGGGGTACCGGTACATAGTTGTATTTGGTCAACAGTTTTTTTTTTTTTTTTTTTTTTTTTAAGACTTGTCCTTTATTGGTCTTAAAAGTGGTTAGAGCGCCTTTAAGTTAGGTAATTCAAGTTGATAATGATTGTTGGGCTGATTTGATACTAGGCATTTAAGTTTAGATTATTTATTAAAATTTGGCAAAAAAGCTATAAACAAAACTCACCTTAGTGGCATCAGGATTTTGAGTACGTGGACGCTTTCTTTTTCCTTTGTTGTCCTTATTGAATGAGAAAACTGTTGGTATTGCGTCTGGTTTCAGAAGTTTTATTAAGGCTCCAGGTCGTACTACGTAATCTTGCTCAGTAAAATGTTTGCTGCAGAGGGCACTGTGAATCGTTGCTCTCCAATCCTCACTTCTCCCCACAGCCTTTTCCCATTCTTTGAAAATTTCTGGACGGAGATGTGGGAATCTGAAATTGAAAGGACCACCTCAGTTAGATACCCAACTTTAATCCATTTTACTCTGCACAACTTAGTTTTTATTAATCATAAATTTTGAAACTAGCGATAACCATCCAATTTCCGGATCTCCAAAATGCCTTCAATAGCTATTTCCACACTTGTGCGATTTTCTATTCAACTTTTTTTTTTACTTTGATTTCGATTTGGGTCTTAACGCACACAGGTGAAGCATGCTTGTAGAGCATGCTGCGTGAGTGTTCACATATGGCACTATAACCTTCTTCTCGCAGAAGAGTATTTAAAGTTATGTAGAAGATGTGACCAATATTGGGGTGGCTGTATTATAATTTATATAAGTGTGATTTGATTATGAATCGCGACGCTGTGGCAGTTGCTGGAATCAGTGTTGCTTGTTTATTAATATAGAAAGTGTCCAATCGCAAAAGAAATGCTCGTTCTGTCATTAAAGATGTCGGTATGTTGTATGTCGTGTGCATTAAGGATGAAATTAAAACAAGACACTTTTCAATGTTAGGTACCTAGTTTGGAGCCTTATGAAAATGCTTTGTTTAAACATTTCACTAGAATGTCTAAAGATTATTTTGTGTTACCTGTACAATAATGTGTATGATTATATAGGACACTGCACAATGCAATAAACAAGTTAAAACTACTCAAATCAACCTTAAGCAGCACGGTAAAACTCAAGAACATAACCAAAGTTTTGGTTCTGCTTGCTTTGCGGCATGCATTTCAGAAACTACTCGGTTTTTTCAGAAAAAAAAGCAGACTTTTCCACATGCATCATGGGCTCTAACGCATGCGTCAAGAGCATGTAAAATCGCACAAGTGTGGACATGGTTAATAGCCTATATCTAATACTACTTGTCAAACTAGATCAACTAATCAACATAGTTTGGCTTAGCCTATATACTTAAGTTAAGTGGATAAAAGATTAAGTTACCAATCAAGTAAACCACCAGATTGACAGAAAGCTGTAGAAGTAGAATTTTTGAAAACTCCTGAGAACAAAAATCAAGATCCTAGCTACAGACATCATGGAACTCCGCAATGATCGGTCACTTGGACAAAATCTTAAACAGCATCTAAGTTTAGGCCTACTTGAAAAATCTTACTTTTATATGACAGAATTTAATGATGACCAGAATTGTCCCATTAGGCCATACACAATTAAACTTTCAAGCCTATTCACTACCCTATCCTACTTCATCTACGCCTACAATGAGTATTTACCTTATTAGGTACCAAAGTTGGGATGTTTACCAGCATAGCTGGATTAACTGCTTTGATTTTTTAAATGAATATTTTCAACTAAACTTGTTCTTGTATCTTACAAAGAATCAAAAGTAAACTATTTCAAAGCAAACATGGCAGGTGACAACAGCGATTAGTATTCTGTCATCAAAATACTCTTTCACAGAGTACGGTGGTAAGTTTTAGGAGAAGCTTATCTCGTACAACCGCAAACGTTTTTTTCCAAAAACTGCTTTTTGGGAGAATCTTTTTACAACGTACAAGAAAAAGCAGGGAAACATCACTGGATTTCCTGTGAGACGGAATCTAGGAATATCAATTAAGCTTTTATATTTATTTTTCTGCTGTGTGTGTTACAGCTATGAACAATGAAATCTCCTCTAGTCTTTAGTAGCTTAATGTTGGACTAGCCATTTACAAGGGATACACTGTAGCCTTCTAAGGATTTGCTTACAATGTTCCAAAGGAGCACTAGATTTTATGGCTCTCATGGCAGATTTTTGTAGCCCAAGTACTTCATCCTGACTCACGGCCATAGAGAAGTAGGCCTACCGGTATGCCATAAAGTTAGGTGCCGTGATGGATGGCTATTCGGAAAGCTTCACTTAAGCTATTCAGTCTAACCCAGCAGAAAGACAACTGTAGATAACTTTTTACGTAAGTTACCAATCAAAAAACTCCATTCACCCTATATACCGGGACTCCAATTGAAATAAAAGTTGTGCACACTATGGTTTAACTTATAATACTGTACCTGGACAGGTAAATTTAGCTCTTTTAACCCTCCAAGTGTCCATAGTTTAGGCCTTAATGTCCACCTATTTTTGGCGCATTTGCAAGGTTTTATTAAAACGGATCTGAGAAGCTTAAAACAATGTTAATTCTAATGTTCTATATACCATTTTGTTTGGAAAATCATGGGCTTCAATATTATATATAAAACATAAGGAACATTTTTTCAAAAAAAAAATTTTTAGGTAAAAAAAATATAATTTTGAAAATTTTCAAAAAAAAAATAAGTTCGCGCTCAATGAAATTGTATAAATTATAGGCCTATAAATATTTGAAAATAGCCACTTTGTTCTAAATTTTATGAGGATTACAAATATATAATAATATAAGGAAGTATATTTGCAAATAAATAAGTTATGGGCAAAAAACTGATTTCAGTACATAGCGTTTAGCTAAGAATGCATAGCCTAACCATAGCTAGGAATCTGGCTGATAATTTACATCAATATCACTACCTACTTCTTCAGGATCATCAACCAGCACTTCAAAACCACTTAAATCTTCTTATAATGCACCACGTATATCACTACTTTTGATTTTTAACACTAAAACAATGATAAACGTAATAAAACACATCAGTCATCGGTCCGGGGGAACCTAGCTGTTTACAAATACACGCACGTCAGCTGTCTGCTACAATATTTTCGGAACTAAAATGAATATCGCTTAGAGACAGACCTCTGGAGAAAGCTTAGAATATTACGGAAAGAACGATACCTAACTCGATCCAGTTCAATCCGATTCAGTCAGTCATAGAGCCTTCGCCGTAAACGATGTCTGCGTGTCGAAAAATCGACAAGTAACACTACACAAAGTGTGCTGCTTGTCGAATTTTCGTCAAGTAACACTGGGAGGGTTAAACTAAAATCAAAATCAACTGTTCCTAGCCTATGCATTTCTTTAAGAATCCCTACAACACCAGGCAGAGAAACATGCTGGATGTTCCCCGTGTTAGGCTCTCCAAGACAGCCGCTACATACCAAATTCAGGGGCTAAAGTTCTTTAACAATCTGCCAATGGCCATTAGGGGCTGGAAAAGGGGTCATCTCAAGGACAAGCTAATGTCGCTAATTAAAGAGAGAGCCTACTACAGCATCTTTGAGTTCATGGATGATAAGGAAATAGCAAATATGCGGTAGCCATCTTTTCCATCATCCCTGGAAGTCATTTTTAACTTGTATATAGGTATGTATATATATTGATTTTTATATCTAGGCTATACGGTTTTACACGTTGTGGACTTATTTTTCTTTTGTGCGTGTAAAAGAAATGTTTTTATTTTCTTGTCGAGACGCAATCTATCCCTTTTTTGGGTAAAAGATGAAGAAGGAGTAAGTAAACTGTAAGTAAGTAAGAGTAAGTTAGGCATAGGACAAAGAACATAGAGCTGACATAATGTGAGTAAAATTTAACTAGGCTATAGGCTAGTAAACTAGGTATGATTACCATAATACAAGCATTTAATTTTAGTTAATAGTTCACATTTGAATGCACCTGTTTTCATCAATAAAGCCTAAACAGTATTTATGCTTTTCTGAAGGCCTAACCAAGTTGAAGCTTAGTGGGCCTGACATTTCTTGATAACCTAATTAAAAACTTACTTGTGAAACTGGATATCATTTCCTTTGCTGTACTTTTCATTGCACCCAAATGCAACACAACAACGCACCATATTCAAAACTGAAACATTATTTATTATATACCTAAAAAAATCATAGGCTAGGCCATCTTTTTCAAGACAACAATCAAACTTCTTCATTCATTCTGTCATTCGACATTGCACAATCAAGGAGAAAGAATTAATTAATTATCGAAGAAGAAGAAGTGGAAGAAGAAAAAAGGCTGTGCTAAACGCAAAAAAGTTGCCAATGTTTTTAGGGTTTGATTCTAAACATGAAGCCTGCTAAAGCAGAAACTTCCCAATGCACTAAAAACGAAAAATACCATGAAGTGAGCATGAAATACCCTATTTTACCCACTAAAATAGAACACCCACAAAAATACCCACTATAGCTTAAAATACCCACAAAGTGGGTAATTACCCACCAATTCGAAACCCTGGCATTCATAACCTAGGTGGCTGTGCCTAACCTCCCTCACAGTGCTCACACCATAGACAATCACACTTATAAATACCCCCGCCGCAGCAGACCTGCAGACTAAGCGAATTTCCATTTGACTGATTGGATTTACACTGAAATGTCAAATGTCTACTTAAAAATATAACAGTTATTCCCGATTTAAATAGAATTAGTCAAGTACTTAGGTTCGCTGCATCAGGGAGGGTAAAACTGTTTTTTTTTCAAATGTTAATAGTTAGTAAGCAAGTAAGAAATGAAAACATTTTCCAAATATGTTCATAAACAAGCAAACTACAACAGTTTACTGATTCTCCATAAGAATAACATGAGAATTTTAAATTTTAAATTTTTTGAAATTTTCTCCGTAATCATTAGGCGCATAATAACGCTTCAATATACTAAATTATTTGCCTTTATTAGGCTCTACAAAATGGTTTGAAAAAAATTGCTAAATTTTATGTTTTTTGGGTCAAAAATGGGAAAAACCTATTTTTATCCCATAAAACCCCCCGTAAACCCCCGTTCCCATGGTCCGATCATGCTGGATCGCGAACTCGTTCGAATAAACGTAGGTTTACAGGTTTGTACCAAATTTCATCAAAATCGGATCATTTTCGCTCAAGTTATCGTGTTAACGGACACACACACACACACACACACACACACACACACACACACACACACACACACACACACACATATATATATATATATATATATATGAATTTGAACGGATGCTATTTTTGGCCTGTAGGGACCTCAAAACGAAAAAATCGGTCCTGCGTCCAGGTCTTACCATGAGTACTACGGTAATAGCTTATTCCCTATATGGGAAATTCGCTAAAAAGCAAACCAAAAACTAAACTGAAGTAAGAAGAAGAAGCAATAACCAAGCAACTAAGGCAACGCAAAGGCAAGGCGATCGGCGCGGCGAGGCGATCTAGTCTAGATTGTCATGACTGTTACAAAATAACGGCGTAAATGTAAACAAAACAAAGAATCATAGCATATTATGTTAAAATCAAGCAACAATTATTTAAACACAGTACAAAGGGACAACATTCGGCAACTAATACGGAGAAAGCCTTAGAGTTTACATATAAGTCGCTCTTTGGAAACAACGACCACTATCGTATCGAAAACGAAAAGGTACAGTCATAGATAAAACATACGATAAAACAAAACATACTTTCTTAGGTACAGTATTTAACAGATTTGATTTACGTTGCTAAATAAGGTTAAATAACATTTTATCTTAAACAATTCGTTGGTGAATCACATTCATGGATCCATCTCATAAAATGGCAAACTTAAACAGGTCTACGCAACGCAGTAAGAAGTGGTGAAAGAAGCTGTATAAAGGCAAAACAGTCCGGAGTGTGGGAACCGTCTGTAGCAGTTAGATTAATGTATCTGCAATCCTAAAATGCTATGGGAAGGGAGGGAAAGAGGTCCACAACGTTGGAAGTGGTAAAGGAAGTACAGTAGAACCTTAATAACAAGACTCTCATGGGGATTATAAAAAAAGACTTGTTATCAAGGTTGTCTTCTTATTGAGGTTGGCAAAAACCTCAAAAACAAAAGACCAATGTGGACCTTATGTTTTACATGTGATTAGGGGTAAAATAAATTTCAGGGGGTTTAAAAATGACACTTGTTATCAAGGTTGACTTGTTATCGAGGGTCTTCTTATCGAGGTTCCACTGTAGTAGTAAAGAATGGCAGTGCGGAGAGTGGGAACGGGAACCGTTTGTGGCAGTTACATTAATTTATCTGCAATACAATAATGCCATGGCAAGAAAAACAGGTCCACGACGTAGGAAGTGGTTAAGGAAGTAGTAAAGGCAAGCAGTGCAGAGTGTGGGAACATTTGTATTTTAGTGTTATATCAATAAATATTTATTGCTTTGTTAAAAACCATGGAACATGATTGCTCCGCTCAACTGGCTTTTACTGCGATGAAAGCAACCCTAGTATATTGTATATAGTATATTGAAACGTCTTTGTTCGATTGAAATATTCAAAGCTTAGTTCCGTTTTAAATATTGCTGATACCACTGCCTTGCAAATAATACGGCTATCTGTATTTCAGTCGCCTTCGCCTTGTTTTGTCGTGAAAAGAAAAGAAAAGAAACAGTAACTAACTACAGTGAGCAAAACAGTCGTTCAGTCGTGTCAATGAATGGTATTTCGATTATTGGTAAAATTTAACTGTTTCTGCATGTGTTTATGATGAGTGAAAACTATAACGAAATTAGGTCGTACCGATGTTTTAGTGTCAGTGTTTCCTTACCAATTGTGTGATGTTTATCAATCGAGCACCATCTTGTAATTTTCTTTTTTACAAAGGTATGTATGTGACATTGCAAACATTAACCTAATTGTTTTAGAACCATATTTATATTTAAATGACTGAATATTTTACCCCACTTAGATGTAGTATAATATGGTTTAGATTTTTTTTGTTGGATTTTTTATTTGACCAAGGCCTAGCTAATGTAGTCACTAACCAGTCCTACCCAAGGGTACAGTTGTCTTAACTGGGCTAGGCCTTACGCCAATATTGATTGAAACTATCAAATTAAAAATATGGTTTAATAATCGATATTTTAAAATATATTTATTATAAAATCAAACTAGGGTACACTTCTATATCTGTTGGCACAAACAACCGAATGAAAATATCGATCAATGTATCAAATTAAATAACTTAATCGAATAATCAATATTAAGTTAGGCCTACTCATTCGGTTGTTTGTGCCAACAGATGGAAGTGTACCCTTACTATCATAACCTAACCAGTCGCATAAAGGTTTGCTAATCAAATCGATAGTTTCAATCAATATTAAGTTTTATTAGCGTTGCCCAGTTAAGAAACTGTAGGCCTACTCCTACGGAATGCTAAGTAGGCCTAAAGCTATTTAAGTTACTTGTCTTTAAAGCCTAAGCTCAGAAATTATTTGCGTCTAACTTAAAGTATGCTATCATATTTTTTCTGAGAGAACGTTGGTACCGGTAGCCTTACCAGGGGAGGGGAACCGAGGTGTTCCCGTAATTTATTTATCCTATACTAAGTAGGGCGTTAGAAGGAGCCATTTAGCAAGCTCCTTGTAAGTTTGGAACATTTTATAAAATTATATAAATAAGTTAGGCCTAACTTAACTAAGTTTAGACAATCTAACTTAATAATTCTTCATTTGGTAGGCTAAGTGTCCGTGTCATCGCTGGATATTCAGCAGAGCCGTGTTAAGGGTCAGTGGAGCCCTGGGCAAACCCAAAAGCAGCGCCCCCTTTTTCCTAGTGCGGGCGGGCGGGGGTAGGCGTCCCCAAACCTCCGGCGCCCCTGGGCATGCCTAGTCTGCCCGTTTATAAAAGTGGGCCTGATCTTCGGTCTCCTATCTTAATGAAAGCCGTGTCAAGTTGATAGGCTAGGCTAGTTAAGTTAATGTAAGTTAACTTAGTTTTTAGTCCAATTGGCAATTTTAATACGGTCTAGTACCAACATGAAGTGGATCTAACAACTGAAAGACAGAAAATTCACTGAATCAAATACCGGTACGGTAGCTGAATAGGCCCAACTCTAGTGGAAGGCTATCAGGTTAAGTTACATCACTAGAAAACCCACCCTTTACTTTACTCCCCTACTGTACAGAGAACCTTTACAATAGGTATATCTATCTATATATATAATACGTGAAGCCGTTTTTTGTTAACGCAACTCCTCCCTTATTTGTGGACTAATTTCAACGTTTGAGGTGTCAAAAGATTCGTCTCAATATGTAGTTTTGCAATAAGGTTTTAGAGTTTTAAAATTCCTGCTCTTAAGGGCGTGAGACCCTCTCAAAGGTCAGGTTTTCCCCATAAGAAATACATAGAACAAATTTAAAAACAAAAAACAGCTGTTCATAAAAATAAACTCATTAGCTTTTTGGGAGTAAATATTGATGTTTGTATATTCAGTAGGTTAAGACCAAGTTACACAGTTAATCAGTTTTGTTGGAAAAACTGAAAATGCCTCAAGTTCTAAGAAGAAATATTGAACACGGGAGGAGGACACAATTAATAATAAGATATCTAGGCCCTATTGTGCGTATGAGGAGAGTAGAAAAAGAGAGGCCTGGTCCAACAGATACCCATCCAGATACACATTCACTTGGTAAGATGAATAAAAATTGCCAGTTCTGCTATGCAACTTACTTTGGAAGTAGAAAAATATACGAAGCTCATAGTGTTGTCACGGTGGGAAAGTAAACTTGCCTAATGTAAGATCAAATGAATGCATGCAAGAAATGTTTTCTTCAGACACTGACAGATTGAGATATTTCAAAACATTTAGTAGAAATTATAATAATTCCTTGACTATAATAAGTATAAGTGAAGTAGTAAGATTATACCAAATCTTGGCTACCTTATGTTTTTATCGTAAACTTTTGTATTACACTCTCTTCTTCAATTGGGAAAAACGTAAATGGATTGTTTACTACTATGTTATGTTGCCAGTTCCTTGGACAAACTTATACAAAGTTTTTTGACTGAATTCACCAACACAATCCAGACATTTCAAGTAAAAAATAAGAAGTTTCAAAAACTCATTTGCTATTGAAAGTTTTAGTGGAAATATTAGACCATACATAAGTGAAGGAATTAGTGTTTATGTATTGAACGATCGAGTAGTTACGGTCAAGT